GCGAAAATAGAACAGGAAATCGTGATTCAGTTTTGGATCGTCGGATTTTACACGTCTACGTTCCCGAACGATTCCATTTCATAGTCCATTAGCAACGATCCCATCGAATCATCCTCCAAAAACGTGCCGGCGTGAAATCATTATTATTGTTCAATATGGCGCTGCTGCGTGGCGCGGAATTATTAGCAGATCGCTCGATTGGAACGCGTGGGGTAGAATACGCTGGAAAAGACTTTGAGGATTCGAGAATACATCATTTGGACATGTAATATTGATTTTGTTGTTAATTCAGTGACTTTGAAAGAAATTTTTAAATATATGCTCAAATTGATTGGTTTGATAGTTTTAGCGTTAATAAATAATACAGTTTATTTTACTTTCGGCTTTTACTTCGACTAAGTGATCACAAACTTACCAAAACGAACGTATATTTTAGTATTATTTTATGGAACAATTGTAATTAGTGAAAGGAGATAGGTGAAATTATTTATTTTTCATTGAGATATCTATTATCTATTATCATATTCTACGGGGTATTTCACCTACAGTGGGTGTAGAAAGGTATTCGTTCACCGATCAATTTCCAAAAAAACTATGTAAAATTCTAATTTATTAACTTATTTTTTATAAACAAACACATTCTACATATTCTCGGAAATCTCTAAAATAAATAGAGTAAAAAAAAAAATAGCTATTTATGTAAGTTGCGAAATTAACAGGAAAAATACAATCAATCGATAGAAATATTGAAGCAATAAGTATTCGCACAACTGTTTAATTTTTAAAACTTCATTAAAAAAAAGAGATATTTACATTAATTTATAAGTATATGATACTTCCTTCGTGATATTTCCTTTTGATTTTATAATTATTGTAACTCTTCTAACCATTAAATTAACTAAATTATTAGTTATTCGAAGTAGAATCTTCTATCTTTTTCCATTCCTCTATTATAGCTATTTTTAAAAGTACTTTACTGGAAATTTGATGTTTTCTAATTCGTACGGAGCAATAAACTAATGTGTTTACGTTACAAACTGTACTGTAAATGGTTCGTCATAAGAATCGTACAAATACTTATTGCTTCTATACTTTTACCCACTGTTCGCATTTTTGTTGTTAATTTCACAAATTATATTAACTAGTAAATATTGTTTGGACTATATCTATCCTAGAGACTTCCGAGAATATGTAAAATATCATTGATTATAAAAAAAGAAATTAATAAACTACAATTTCACATAAAAGTTTCTTTGTAAATTGATCGGTGTACAAATACATTCTACACCCACTGTATATGTATACTTTAGGCAGTAGCCTGAGCCCTTCAGGTCTCATCCCGTACACTATACTTTTCCCTCACATATCAATAAGGAAGAAATACCTTCCCCTAACAACTATAATTGTATTTATCGAAGAGCAATCACAATTGATCTACAGTCAGTGTAGTAAGTATTCGTACAAGAACCAAAACTTCATAAATTTATTTTATTAATAAATTTTAGGGGGAAGAAATAATTAACCAACATTCCTACATATTTTTAGAGTAGATTTTGCTTAAATTAAAGTTTATTACTTTTAATGTTAACCTCTTATTTCTTGCCTTATTAATTTTATTTCAAATTAGTTGCTGAACGAATACTTCTTACACCGACTGTATATGATCCTATAAAACATTCATGCACCGCTCCAAATAATTAGGAGCCCCCATTAGTATGCTGCCCGTGTCAATGCTGTCTCTTCGCAAGAAATCTCAAAACAAAAAATAACAATCAAAATTTAATTTACCTGATGTATTCATTCCTGCAGAAATTTTGTTTTGAAAATAATAATAAAGTTCCATTTAATTCGTAATAAACTATCAAGTATTAATTGAATCTATGAAATGCTTCCAAACTACTCAGAATAATACTACCAAAAGTTCGATATGCCATAAAACATCTCTATGCTGCTCGAAATGATTAGAAACTGTAATGTCTTTGTTGTTTGTGAGTAAAATATTTTTCAAAAATTCTTGGACAATGAATAGATGTGGTTTGTTTGTGATTCTGTCTAGTAAAAAATTTGTTTTATGAGAATAATGATGAAAATAAAACTATCCACTATTTTCTTGGATTTGGAAAAGTAATAATAAAATTATTCATTGCCCTGTGTGTTCAATTTGTAATTTTATTAAGAAGAAACCATTCAGTGCATTTTCCAGGGCATTCTGTATTATGTATTTACATTTCAGGTCTAATTTATACGACGATTCGAGCGATCGATATGGCGTACCACGAGTTCGTACTGCGAGTTTGTACCTGCATACAGAAAAATTTTCTTTCGTTTTCAATATTTCAGATGTTGTTCCAATTTCTTCTATGGTAGAAAGTTTTTAAAATTTCTACACCGTGTCAGCATTTTCTTAATTTCCTCGCAAACAAATTCTTTTGCACTGTTTATGCGTGGTAATCTTGTAATAATTACTCGGAAGAAAACTCACCGATTATTGGATCGAAATGACACGGTTAAAATTTATAAAATTATAAAGTAGACCAGGAATTAAATATATGCAGAATGCTTTTTTAAACTCGATGAATGCTGTTTTTTAAGAATATTTTCTTTTGTTTCTCAAACGTCCCAAACAATATCATCTTTAAAAATAAAAAAATCAGGTATAATCCATACCGTTTGTGTTCTATTGGGAACCAAATGTTATTATCTATTCAACTATTTATAAATAATTGTAATAATAAGATATATATAATATAAAATATATGTATAACTATTTTTAAATATTTTGTAAAGAGATACCTACAAATAATGAACTGAAAGTGTTCCATTAAAAAACAAAACCCTACAGCCTCTTTAGAAATTTAATTTTCAAACAACGTAAACGACATTTTTTAATCTTACAAACCCCCACGAGTGTTATATCAAACTTCAAACTTTGCATCCTGATTTATACACATTTATACACATTATTATACATACAAAATATACAAAGAAATATCGATTAATATAAATAATACATCGATGAAAAAACTACCTGCCCTGCCATTCTTAATATTTCTGAATCTGTGGATTCTGTCGATTAGCAGATACAGTGGATGTAGAATGTATTCGCACACCGATCAATTTCCCAAAAAACTTTTGTGTGAAATTGTAGTTTCTTAACTTCTTTTTTTTATGATCAATGATATTTTATATATTCTCGGAAGTCTCTAAGATAGATATAGTCCAAACAACATTTACCAGTCAATATAATTTGTGAAATTAACAAAAAATGCGAAAAGTGGGTAAAAGTATAGAAGCAATAAGTATTTGTACGATTCTTATGACGAACCATTTACAGTAGAGTTTCTAACGTAAACACATTAGTATATTGCACCGTACGTATTAGAAAACATCAAATTTCCAGTAAAGTACTTCTAAAAATGGCTCTAATAGAGAAATGGAAAAAGATAGAAGATTCCACTTCGAATAACTAATAGTTTAGTTAATTTAATGTTTAGAAGAGTTAGAATAATTATAAAATCAAAAGGAAATCTCACGAAGGAAGTATCATATACTTTTAAATCAATGTAAATTTCTTTTTTTTTAATGAAGTTTTAAAACTTAAACAGTTGTGCGAATACTTATTGCTTCAATATTTCTATCGATTAATTGTTTTTTTTCCTGTTAATTTCGTAACTTTCAAGAAAGCCCTCAAATGGAAAGACATTAAAACAACTTTATCGATACAAGACATGAAGAAATTTTTGGGGCTTATTCTTCTTATGGAACAAGTGCGTAAGGACCGAAAAGAGGATTATTGGAGCACGGATCCGTGTATAGAAACGCCAATTTTTCCGAAAACAATGACAAGAGTCAGATTTCGTATATTGTGGACCTGGCACTTCAATAATAATGAAGAGTTGACTGATAGATCAGACAGGCTTTCGAAAGTCAAACCACGACTGAATTACTTTGTTACCAAGTTTATAAATGTTTATAAGCCTATTCAGCAGTTGTCTTTGGATGAAGGGATAATACCTTGGAGGAGGAGGTTATTATAAATACATAAAGTTCACAAACTACAGCTATTTTGTGCAGAAGTAATTTTGCGTACGAATTGTAAAAAATCGCCCGCTATCCGTTGAGAGTTTGGCGGCAAAACACCCGCGCAAGATGTGTTAATGTAAATTTCTTGTTTTTTAAATGAAGTTTTAAAAATTAAACAGTTGTGCGAATACTTATTGCTTCAATATTTCTATCGATTAATTGTTTTTTTTCTTGTTAATTTCGCAACTTACATAAATAGCTATTTTTTTTTTGTAATCTATCTATTCTACAGATTTCCGAGAATATGTAGAATGTGTTTGTTTATAAAAAATAAGTTAATAAATTACAATTTTACATAGTTTTTTGGGGAAATTGATCGGTGTACGAATACTTTCTACACCCACTGTATATATCGCAGATCTATCAAGGTCAGAAAAACCGAGATTGATTTTCGCCCAGCCAGCTAGCGTCTCCGGACGTCCCACGGTATTTATACGGTGACCCGAGTTTACCAGACGACGTTCGATCTCAGACGAGCGGAGAGGAGGAATGCGCGGCTGCAGCGAAAAACACTGCAAGGACGCACGCCGGATGCTCATCCGTACATGTTGGCCGACATTCAACAAGTGACTGACATTGATGTCGCGCGAACGACATCCTACATCCTCTACCCTACGAGCCTTCGGGTTTGCACGTAGGTGGGGGCAAGGGGGAGGGGCCAATCATTTTGTTCAAAGGTCAAGATCGCATGGAAAAAAAAAAGAGTTGCAACTTGCCCGTTGCGTTTCTATGCGCGCAGATCAACGGAATAACGAGTAAAAATACTCCTAAATGGTCGCCGCTGCACTGTGTCTCACGTAACCTCGATATCCGCCATAGTAAAACAACTTTATCGTATTTGTGAAACGTAGCAGGAACCTTTAACCTTTCTGCTCGATCGATCTAGTAGCGGAGCAACGACTGTTCGTTGAATTAATTTCGCCATTTTTTTTTTAATTATAAGACACCTTGGACTTAGTCATTTCGAGTTACGGCACTTTGAGGTTCTGCGAAGCTTAGGAATGTTTCCTTCATCGAAGGTCAAAGTGAAAATTTCATGGTGTGATTCGGGTAAGATTATCTGAAATGCAATATTTGTTTGTACAACTTCTTTGGTAAATATTCATTGCATATCTTAGGAATACTGAAATAATGTTTTTGTGTAGATTGTTGTTGATAGTGTGTATTGCAAGGATAACTAAAAATGTACTTTATCGCAATTTTTAAATTGTAAATTATCTCATTGTTAGTTTCCAAGGAGGATATGTGAAAATTAAATTGAGACAAGGATAACTAAACATTACATCCAGATCTACGATAATATTAATATCTGCGCCTAATTATAGAGGAAAGTTGATAAAAAGTAATCAAAATGAAAATATTTTCGATTTCTTAGCTAGATAATGTTACAATCTGAACAAAGTCTAAATTAATCCAACTTGGGCAACTTTTCCCTACTCTCTCCAACATATTGTTTCCCAAATTTCGTTAAACAGTGATTTACGTAAAGAAAGTTCATTGTTTGATGCAAATGGTAATCAATGACGCGGAAAATACTACCAAATATTTATTGTTATTAAGTCCAGTGTGTGGATATTGAAAAATAGAAAGAAAAAAAGAAAGGTATGGGTAAAAGGATTTCGCAAAACGCGAACGTAACAACGAGGATGCGACGGATTTAATAATTTACCAATTGAAAGTGCAATTACTCACCGTGCTCGGCGATAATTTCAAGTGACTGAAGGGCCCGCGAGACACAGACTACCTCAAGGGTTAATTCCACCGATAACGTTGCGGAGATTTCCAGCCGATCGATCATCCACTGGTTACGCTGATGCAACTACCTGTAAAACCGCCAAAAATTAACGCGAAGCGATACTTGCCGCACCTATTCCTCCAAATGCACACGATCTCGTGTTCGTGGCCGTCTCGCAATCTCTATACTCATCGATGAACGCAGAATTGCAGTAAAAATGGAAGAAAATTGCGTCCTTGTTTGCCAATTACCCTTCCAATAACGAATACAAGTAAATTTATAGGAAATCTTATTAATACAAATACAATACAAATTTCACGTGTTAATTGTTTGACTGGTAAGTTTATAAAATCTCAACTAAATTCAGTCTGCAAAGTCCTCTTTTCGTTCGTCGTGTTCATTTTGTTTTCCGACTTATTTGATGGTTCAATACTAAAATTAAATTTTCAATAGTCGATAAATTCACAAAATCTACAAAATAGGTTTCATCTTCTGTTAGTATTTTACATAACTATCGTTGGTAATTTGTCAAGTAAAGACCTTTGCTTGCCTTCGTTGCAACAAATACATTAACAAGAATAGTTGGTTACTAATCCCCCAAGGTGTCCCCACAAAATTAATTTATCTAAATTCTTGCACTTAGCTACTTTAATTGTTAACGCTTAGAATCTACAAACATTTTATGTATTTTCATAGATTTCAAAAATATTGGTACCTAAAGATAACCGAACAAAGTCGAAAACAGAATGAACGAGGAACGTAAATAAAACGAACGATGAAGACGCCTGACAGGCAAAATTAAGTTATGAGACATAAATTTCATCGCGTTAAAAGTTTCTATTAATAGCTACTCGCCCTTCTCGCGTAGTCATGGCATCTATCAATATCGGGTAATATATTCATCCAATTGTTATTTCATAGAATAACTTTTGCTTTCGTTCGTAAATACATTATAATTCGCATTTATTATTCGGCGTAACGAACGCTGAGTAACATCGATCGATATTTCGGAACAGCTACTCTTGGTATGGTGGAAAAAGAGGATAAACATGTGATGGGTACACACGAAATGCATATACAGCGGTCACACGATAAATTCAGTGCTTCCGTCAGTTACTACAGCAACCATATTCTTCATTTTATGCAAACACACATTCGACAATACGCATGGAGATTGTTATAGACGTGGTGAAAAGTATGATGAATTACTTTACACCGCATATATTATTCTCTACATATTATACTCTATATAAATATAATGATACGTAAATTTACAAACTGTGTCATTTGTAACGTTGATACACCGTTTACACTAGATAGATCAATGATGTAACATCACTAATGATTTGTCAAGTCTAAATTAAATACATTACGTTAAAACAAACAAATGAACTATCGTATAGTATATAAATATATTCTTTAAGCTACTTGTAATAGAAACAATGCTTTCAAAGTAAATATAAGAAAGCAAACTTTATTTTGCTCAAGAATATAACTATATTGTTTGTCCGTGAAATTATTTTCCCAAATATAATATCTGTCATTCATTCTATCTTTCATTCTTCCTCAGAAAAGTGTGTTCACTGCAAGACACTCATAATTATGGATTGAACCACACACTCCTCCATTAGTCCTACCCTGAATTCGCTACTGCTCATCGGCTTCCGGCCATGGTGACTTTGTCCAACCTGTAAATATGAGATATTCGTCGTGACATCAAAAAATTACGAAACCAACGTGAAAACAGATGCCCAAAATGAAAGAAAGATTCTTCCACGCTACCTAAAATCCCTTCCAAAATCGCGCAATCAATGATATCAACCCAGACTGATTTAGCAACGACCTAACCTCGAACCGCGGTGCCTATTCGCGCGCGCCATCATCCAGCAATGGCGCTGCTTCCGCGACACGACAAGGATCTCTTCGATCGTTGCCCCGGCGTCGAAAATTACACGTTTCGTACGTCGTCGCCGCATAGACGCTTTCGCGTATTATTGGACGAGCATCCCGTGTTCGAGGATGCTTTAAAAATCGCCTTTCATAATCACGTCACAGAAACATTAATCTCCGGCGTAGAGCTCGCTCTGTATTATCGAACAACATCGTCCCTGAAGTTTCTCGTAATGGCGGCCGTTCTCGCCGCACGGGGCCCATAGGCGCGTAAATATCAGCACGAATGAGCACCGACAAGCAAAGGAAAAGACCGGCTCTAGCTGCGCTCGTCTCGAGGCACCGGCGCTAGAGGGACAGAGACGGCGAAACTTAGTGACAAAGAACGAAAAAGAGGAAGAGGGGGCTAGCAAATAGAAAAAGAGAGGAACCGAGGGGCCGTCATAATTCCTTGAATTGAACGGCTGGTTATTCTCCACCAAGGTTACCGACGCAGAGGATGAACGAAGCGGGCAGGCCAGGCAAAGCAGGCTAGCAACCTAGCGGGCAGACTACCATGCAAGCAAGTAAGCAAACGAGCGAGGCAGGCAAGGCGGTCGGGCAGGCCAGGCAAGCAGACAGGCAAGCTGGCTGCCAGCGAGACGCGGAGAGGAGAGGAGAAAATCAAAAGAGAGGGGATACATGACGAGTAGGACGAGTAGGACGAGTAGAGGTTAGGTGCGAGCGATGGGAGGAAGGGAGGGGAATCGATAGAACGACAAGGACGGGGCGCGCAGAGTATATGCCGCAGCACGGCAGCATCAGGCGTCGTCGGCGGTACATGGACTGCGGTGAGGCGAGAGTAGAGAGAGAGAGAGAGAGAGAGAGAGAGAGAGAGAGAGAGAGAGAGA